GGGGGGGGGATGGTGACTCTCTCTCTCTCTCTATCTCTCTCTCTCTCTCTCTCTCTCTCTCTCTCTCTCTCTCTCTTCGAGAAACCAATCTTCCCGCTAAAGAGGGAAGATTCATTCTGGCTTTCTGCCGTTCAGGAAACAGAAAGCGGGAATGAATCTTCTCTCTCTCTCTCTCTCTCTCTCTCTCTCTCTCTCTCTCTCTCTCTCTCTTTCTTCGAGAAACGAGTCTTCCCGCGAAAGAGGGAAGATTCATTCCGGCTTTCTGTCGTTCGGGAAATAGAAAGCGGGAATGAATCTTCCCGGTTTCGCGGGAAGATTCGTTTCTCGAAGAGAGAGAGAGAGAGAGAGAGAGAGAGAGGGGGGGGGGGCGGCGACTCTCTCTCTCTCTCTCTCTCTCTCTCTCTCTCTCTCTCTCTCTCTCTCTCTCTCTCTCTCTTCGAGAAACGACGGGAATGATTCATTCCCGCGACCCGTCGAGAGAGAGAGAGAGAGAGAGAGGCGGGCGGCAAGTTCGCCGTGACCTTCCATGCGCCCCCTCTCTCTCTCTCTCTCTCTCAACGAAATGGGAATGCATGTTCCCACGAAAGCGGGAAGAGACATGAACCCATTCGTTTTTTTTGTTTTTGTTTTCCGTTTTCTTTGTTGTGTACCTTTTGCACGTTCGGATCATTTTTTTTTTTCTTTTTTTTTTATTCGTTTTTTTTTGCCCGTTTYTTCCGTTGTGTACCTTTTGCACGTTCCGAGCGTCGGCACGGATCGGCGTACCGGTTGGCCGAGGCTCGGACTCGATAGCTGGGCCAGGTACTAGTGGTTTAAGAAAGAGGCTATGGCCTCCATGCTAAAGAGAAAGATTGGCGCTGCCAGCGGGTCTCCTTGTCTTACTGATCGGGACATTTTATATTTGTTGGAGATGTGTCCGTTGACCTGAACTGCTCCCATCTCGTCGTTGTATAAGACTCTCACCCATTTTTTGAAGTTTGGTCCTACTCCCATTGTTTCCATGCACTTTTGTAGGAAGTCCCAATCGACTTGATCATAGGCTTTTTCAAAGTCAAAAAATAGAATTGTTGCATTCAATTGTTTGTCCTGCATAAATCTGACCGATTCTGCTAGTGACATCACATTGTCTAAGATGAAACTATCCTTAGCTGCACCCCCCAATCACTGGGGTAGTCAATGCTGGCAGCTAGACATGCATGATCAAAGTTTAGGTATTCACAGTGAGTAGCAAGGCGAGGTAGCTTGGAGGGCGGTTAGGGAAACAGACAGGGCTCGTTGGTGCCCCCCAGTGCCCCTGTTTTGGACCCTGACCAAGGGTCCTGGTAGTCAAAGTAGAGGTAATGGGATCCATCTTCTCAGCACAGGAGTCACGGTAGCTACCTCACAACTCATCTCTTTTTACCACAATGTAAGGGACGCTGGAACCGGTTTCCAGCAGGTGTTGCTCCCCACCAATAGATGGAGCCGTCTTGGGGGTGCTAGCGGTGTCTGCTCATACCAGCACCTCTAGCACCGCCCGATTTTCAAAAAATATATGTATATATGAGTCGGTGAAACTTCGACGAAACAGTTTGTCACAGCCCCTCGTTTGTTGTCTTCTTCTCTCTCTCTGCCTACGGTTTACCGGACAGCTCTGTTTGTGATGATATATATAGCCCCTCGTTTGTTGTCCTCTTCTCTCTCTCTGCCTACATTTTACCGGGCAGTTCTGTTTGTGACGATATATATATATATATATATATATAGGATGAAACGTCCTGGGATGAATCCTGTTTGATCTATATGAAAGCAATTTTTGGTGATCTTTCTGATCCTGTTGGCTAGTTGTTTTGCCAAAATCTTGTAAGCTACTGTTAGTAGAGTGATAGGCCTATAATTCCTGATGTCAGTTGGGTCGCCCTTCTTGTAGAGTAATGTGACTATACCGGTGCTAAGTTCTGGTCCTAGGCTTTCCTTGTTCCATGTTGTTCTTACGAAGTGGCAATATTCATCTCCTAAGAGTGACCAGTAGACTTGTCAGAATTCTTTTGAAGCCCATCTATACCTGGTGTTTTATCTGACTTCATGGAATCTAGGGTTTTTTTATTTTTTTTGTTTTTGATTGGTTGGTCTAGTTCTTCTGCCATGTTGTGCGTAATGGTTTTGTCTAAGTACTTGGTGAACTTTTCTCTGCCTTGAGGGCCATGCTAATCTTTATTCTCTGTATCGTTCCAATTTTAACGGATGTCCCGAAGGACCGTTTTGGTTGGGGCGCACTTACTTTTGTAGAGCCCATCCTTATGGTCGGGAAATTTAAACCACCAGTACTTCCTAGAGTCGTGCCCGTTAACGCGCCACAATTTAGGAAACGTACGGGCTACTACAGGAGCGCCAAAATTCATCCGACTAGAAACATTTCTACTCTTTTTGTTTCCGCGGCCAATAGCTGGGCCAAGTACTGGTGGTTTAATGTGAAAACACATCGGACTTCATTAGCATCGTGATTAGGAAAGGGTGGATGACGATACCCTTACTTTCCCTTTTTTTTTTTTTTTTTTTT